GGGAAAGAGCCGGTCCCGTGGGACACAGGACCCCCAAAGCCTGAGAACCCACAAAACGTGGTGCCGAGCAGGGAGGACTCCACATGGCTCTGTTGCCCCCAGATGTGGCGCAGCCGGGGATCCCTCCCCAAGGGCTGCAACAAGGAAGAGGAGAAAATTGAAGACATGCTTTAAATGCAGTCAAAAAGCAAAAGGAATTGGCCATTCCCCAAGGAATGGGGAGAACAGGACGGGTACTGAGAGCCGAGGATGGCATGGATGCTCCTGGAGAGCGGGAGGGAACACGGGGCAGCAGCCAGTGGGGAAGAGAACCGGCGGGGAGCAGCCATGGCCGGCAGCGCTGCGGTGGCCGGAGCCACAGGGGGAAGGGGTCGGGCACTGACAATGAAAACCCAATTAGACACTCGCATTTCACGGGCAAATGACCGCAGCGGCCAGCCACGCGTCCCATGGTCGCAAGGCGAGGACCGGACAGACGGACGGATGAGGAGTGGGTGTGTGCCGGGGGGATGGGGTGAGCAGGGAGCTCTGCCTTCCAGCGGCTTCAAGGCAAAATACCTGATTCCTGCATGTAAACAGCTGGTTTTGATTATTATTTTTTTCGGGTTTTTTTTTTTTTTTTTATATATGACCTGATTGTGGGAAAAAAAAGAGCGTTACCTGCAGAGCGTGGGACTCAGTAGGTAAAGACCAAGTCTGAGATGCTGGACATGAGCCAGTCCCCTGCTATCATCTCCGTCACCTCGGGCGTGCAATAGTCCGGGAACTCGAAGTGCGAGGAGCCTCCCCGCGGGAAGAGGTCGTGGTCCTTGTCGAAGACGGACCAGTCCAGGGCACCGCAGGCAGCACTGGCAGGGGCCCGCCCGGGCAGGACCCCCAGCAGCTCTTCCTCCAGCTCCTCATCGGAGGAGCTGAAGGAGGAGGGAGGGGACCCAGCTGACATGGGAGAGGGGGACCCACTCTCTGGGGACCTCCCCGGCTCGGGGCAGGCGGCAGTGGGGCTCGAGGGCGCAGGGGGCTCCGGGGGGCCGCTCTCCGGTGGGTGTGCCATGTGCCAAGCGGCTGTGGCAGGCGCCGCGGGGGAGGCCTCTCGGGG